CTGAGACGATGCCCGTCTCGAATCCAGTGAACGATGCTCCCAGGGTACGCCTGCCGAGGTTGCTCTCGTAACTTTGGCCGGCGCCGCGAGTTGATGTTGCAGCTGGATGCTGCGACGTTCGACTTGGTCGCTGCCTCATCAACTTCATGTGGCATTTGTCGCTTGGCCTCGACAACTACTGGGGACCCGACGACGTTTGGAAATAAGAGGAATAGATAAGGTTGACGTCAACGGCCCCTTGCTGCCACAGCCACTCCCAACAACCCGGTCACGTGGGAGTGGTCATGTGCAGCCGATGATCGAAACCAGTCGCAGGCACTCCGAACAATCAGTTGAATGGACGGACAAGGTTGCAGGTGGTGGGATGATGGCGGGACTCGGCACTGCAGAGGACTGCTGCTGGCGGTCTGGACCAAAGGGAGCCATGTTGACCTGGGCGACACATCCAAGCAAATCCCAACGACGGCGGTGATGCCTACTGCCGCATTAACGCTTTGGGTCCCTCGATGCGGATCCGTCTGCGTAAGAAATGTAATTTGCCACGCAAGACGACCTCGACATTATGATACACCAACACGCGTACTGGCCGTCCAGGAATGGGGCTTGTGCCATTTGCGCAACCTCGCCTCGATTTCGCTACGCATCCGCTGCAAGTTGTTGCGTGGCAGGCGGTGGTGACGCGTTGGTGCAACCGCTGCAGCCCCACGTACGATGCGCGAGTGGATTGTCGTGGTTCGAACCCGTCGAGTGCGCCCCATGCATGAAAATTAACATCACGTGGTGGGTGTCCTGCGAAGGCCACGAATTGCCCTGGTCTGACTCAGCACAGCAGATAGAAGCGCCACGCAATGTCGTGGGATGAATCCTCCCATGTCAGAGATAGATCGGCCACTCCTGTCCTTCACTACATATCTGAAACATGGAGCGTCGCCGCCCCAACCATGCGTCGCATCCCAAGCTTTCATGCCCTCTATGAAACTGGAGCTTGAACCACACTACTCATGCTTGCACGGGGGAGGCTACGTGTCGTTCGCCGTGGCGCAGACATACTGACACAGCGCTCGACTTCAATGGAACGCAGGGGACACACTTCGTCGCCGGCGCCACCCTGCTGCTGCAGCCGCAGTGATCACTTGACTGCACGATGGTGGCGTCCGGATAAAAGCGAAAGGGGCCAATCAAATCGTGTGGATAGATCTGGATCAACGAGTTCGGCCAAGGTGGGAGTTCCTGATGTGGCAGCGTGTGGCGTCTGGTGTGGCGCTGGTTGCCGGCGGCGCCGCGGCGGGTGTATACTTGGATCGTCTTGCAAAGCAACGTGAAGGAGATATCAAGACGATCGTGGAAGCCATCGGCAACACTCCGCTGTTGGAAATTACGAGCTTGTCCAAACTCACGGGCTGTCGAATCCTGGCCAAGGCCGAGTATGTACCAACCATCTTCGCCAGAGCGCGATCCGCGACGATGACGATGACAACCATAGGTTCATGAATCCCAGCGGTAGCGTGAAGGATCGTGCCGCCAAGTTTTTGATCGAAGACGCCGAGGCCAGAGGAAAGCTCAAACCTGGAGGCATCGTGGTCGAGGCCACAGGAGGCAACACAGGTGTGGGTCTGGCCATTGTGGCCGCAGCCAAGGGTTACCGCACCATCTTCACCATGCCGGACAAGACTTCCTCCGAAAAGATTGAGCTCATGACGGTACCATCTCTTCCAGTTCGATCATCACCACCTTCGTCAAGGCTTCATCCAGGTTTTGGGGGCCGACGTGCATGTGCAACCGAGCGTAGCCATGGACGACCCGCTCCACTTTTACAACGTAGCCAAGACCATTGTGACATCGAATCCGTTGTGCTTTGGGCCAGATCAATTCGAAAATGTAGCAAACAGCGAAGCCCATTATGCTGGCACTGGGCCAGAGATCTGGCGGCAAACCGCCGGAAAACTCGATGGGTTTGTCGTGGCGTCGGGTACGCACATATTAACTGGCAACGAAGCGACTGGCATGCATGTCGTAGGCACGGGAGGCACGATCGGGGGCGTGTCGAGATTCCTCAAGGAGCAAAACCAGTCGATTCAAGTGTGGCACATCGATCCAATGGAAGGCGGGGCGTCGTCCGACTATGTCAACACCAAGCAGTCTACGATCGGGCCCGATGGCTTTGAGTATATTCCAAAGCGCGAGGGCGCCACGGTCCGTCGCGAATTCGTGCGCACAGCTTCTTCCGGAGCTCATGGTGGCCATGGACGCGTAGGTCGCGGAAGGAATCGGTCTGGCCCGTGTAACCCCCAACTTCAAAACGGGGTCCATCGACCGCGGCATTTTTGGCACCAACGGGGAGATAGTTCAGATGGCATACTACCTCCTTCGCCATGAAGGTACAGTTGTGTGTACTTCCTGCGGCATACACGTCGCCTCACGGGCGTGACGACGGGCGTAGGGCTGTTTGTGGGACCGAGTGCTGCCCTGAATGTGGTGGGGGCAGTGAAAATGGCTCGGGAAATGGGACCTGGGCACACGATCGTGACGGTCTTGTGCGATGGAGGCGACCGGTACCGCAGCAAGCTCTACAATGCCAAATGGCTGGAGATAGAAAAGCTGACAGACTACGTCAACGCCCCGCTGCAGTTGTGAGTTGATGGAAAAAATGCGGCTCTCGATCGAGATAACACTGTCCTGGACGTCGTGTTGAGTCGAGTTTGGTGTACCAGCGTCTTTCCAGGAAAGAGGAACCAGAGGGGTGGGTTCTATGGTCGAGTTGAACCGTCCAGGATGGCCATAAAGTTGAACGAGCAGCGCCATTGATGGCGGCAAAGTCGAATTCCAGCGATGGTTTCACCATTCGTCTTGGGTCTCCAAACGCGCGGTGGGCACATGTACCTTGCATTCCACAGCTTTTGGAGAAACCAGGCGAGTGCTGCCATAACCTCGTCGCGATCAAGCAGATGTGAGTGAGGGAATTTTTTGCGGCAGGCCCATGCGACAGGAGCACATGTGTAGGACCGTTGTCGAGGCGACGACGACGACGATAGCTGGACCTACATCCCACGCCGCGGTGCACTCTTGGTTGGGTGACTAGCTGCTGCTGTTCATGCGTGACATGTTCGCCTGGCCGGGGCGACATCTTGTCTGTTTAGAGGGAGGGGGCGGGGAGATATTTGGAAGGTCATACGATAGGCTCGCGGAGCCAGTGGCGTCTTCGCATCCTATTCATCATCCGGCGAGCCAGGCCGTTTTATACATTGCCGAAGCAAACTCGTCCACAATTCCGTGAACTGGCGGTTGATATAACTTTGTCGAAACATTGGCACACAGGGTCAGACGGAAATCGGGGATGCCCACCTTGCACCCCATCCGTTTGGAGATCCACGACGAATGGTATTATCGCTGGGGTTCGACTTCGCCGCTTCAGTTGCGCTGCTCGTTCAACATTATGGCCATCCTAGACAGTTAAACTCGACAACAGAATCCGAATACCACCCCTATGGTCCCTCTTCCCTGGATAGTCGTGGCACTGTGATGGCAAAGGTGGAGACAATTCTACATTGTAGGCAACAGCAGAATAAAATTCGATTTAACATTTGACGCACAGATTGCAACATAATTTGAGCATGTCGCTAAGGAAATCGATATGTTGTTTGAAAAACGTAAGATACATGTACTCGTCGGATCTCATGTCCCCCTTTCGTTGCGAATGGATCTACCTGGACTCTAGACATGTGCCCCCGAGTATATGTATCTTACGTTTTTCAAACAACATATCGATTTCCTTAGCGACATGCTCAAGTTATGTATCAATCTGTGCGTCAAATGTTAAATCGAATTTTATTCTGCTGTTGACTACAGAGAAGAACAAGTGAGCCGGTTCTGCCTACAATGTAGAATTATCTCGGTAAAGGTGCTGGAGTGTCGATGTCGGAGACGGGGAAGGAGAAGACGAAGGCAGCACAAGGAGAGTGGGTGCGATGGGCAAGGGAGGACCTGGGGTACATACCAAGTCCAGGAGGGCATGGGGTCGAGAAACAGCGCCCAGCAATGGAACTCGAGAATGTTTTTCGCCTGGTTGAGGTATATCTTGGCAGCATCATACAGATGCAGTGCTGCAGCCACGTCAGGTAGACATGTAGAGATCGACAGTAAAAACAAATACTGGGATATTGTGCAGGACGGCAACTGCGCCATGGGGTGGAGGTGTGAGGGATGGAGTAGGGGCATGACATAGCATGTACTCCAGACAGGAGTGTATAACTGTGAAAGCCAGCCAGAGCGGATAGCTGTATGTCGATTGGCCAGCAAAATTTTTGGAGTAATGTGCAGCGCTCCCAACCGCGTTGTAGTTGGTGGATGACTGCCTACGTTGGATTCACGACGCCCCAGACTCTGGCGAGTTGCACACGTTGTCGGCTGCCACCAAGACGCTAAGCGCTTGCGAAGCAGGAAATGCAGGTTGTGGCGGTCGCCTAAGCAGGCCA